TTCTTCTCTTCCTTCTTTGCAATTAGATCCTAACACAAAATTTCTAAACATTGGTCCTTAAACTTATCACTTATTTCAATTAAACTACTAAATTTTAGAGTTCTTACAATTTGATCACTGACTCGATGTTTGGGGTATTACAAAATTTTATTAAAATGACAGCATTTTGGTTGCCCAATCACACCATAATCAAATATTAGTGGGGACTCTTCGAATCATGTTTTATTATTAAACGGAAACACCAAATTATTCATGACGAGATATTTTAAAAATCACATTTAAAAATGAAATTCCTTTTTTAAGAAAAATCATTTCGACATTCTGCTTGCTCAAATCCAACAGCCATGAATATAATGTTGAAGCTGTATGCAACATTCTGGTAGGTGCAAAGGAAAGATGATATTCAAGCTGAAAACTGAAGTAACATGGAAGTGGACATGATTTTAAAGGATATTTTATCAACCATTGAATGGAACACTAGTGATTTCCAAACTGGCTGGCTGCACGCCACATATATTATTAGATATTCTTCCACACCCGTACAATGGTAAGTGTCCATTGGTAAGTGTGGCATGTAACTGTCACAGAACTCAAAATTTAGGGACTCCACATATAAATGTCATTTATGTCCATTCATGTACAACATTTGTGTTATAACAACATTTTTGTTATAACAATATTTTTGTTCAAATAGAAATTAAACTTTTCGTTTGGTTCTCAAAGTAATGACAAATAAATTTTGTAAATCAAGATTTTGGTAGTATTTTAATCATTTTCCATGATGAATTTTGATAAAAATACCTCGTAGATTTCTCATAATTTCAAATTTAACTAATTAATTTTTATTATAAAATAATTTAGAGGCTTCATTTTAAAAATATAGCACAGAGCTTTCACATCATTTAAGATTGGCGTGTATTCTTCTTCTTGAAGGTTATATTGTTGGATCTATTAAAAAGTTTATGTTTTTGAGTTGGGGTCAATTGAGTTTTCCTACGCGGTTTCGAATATAATATATGTTTTTTTAATATGTGTTTAATTTATATTAATGGTGTGGGAACTAAACAATCTTGGTAATTAAGGGGTTTATTATTTTTCTTTAAGGTCTTAGATTCGAATATCACGTATGCCAGAGGTATGAGTCTCTATTGTCAAAAGAAAGTATACTGCCAACGGCAATAAATTCTAATTCTAATTTTAAATTTTTCTCTCTTTTTTTAATAAAATTAATAACTTTATTTGTATAAAAATTTATGTTTCTTTTAAATTAAAATTTAATTATTTATTTTAAAATTATTCCTATCATGACACGAAAACTAATCCATACAATGATACAACTTTAAAATAAAAACTCTCATCCATACAAATTTGTCCTTAGACGTTAGTCCAAATGATTGTATTGAGTTATCCACATTGTTTTTTTCTTCATTATCCTACTACCTAAGGTTTGATTTTGTTTCGATTGAGGAAAACATCCAAAATAGAACTAAGTTTTATCAATTAAATAGTGTTCATTTATTCAATCTAATTTAAGGTTATTTGATTAAGTGAATGTAAGTTTATCTTTGGGAATAAAATTAATGAAATATAACATTACTTGATATATTACTGAGAATATTGTATTACTATATTTGGTTTATTTGACATGAATGTAAAATTACAGTGTTTGGTTGGAAGAATATATATAGGAATAATGTATATTTTATCAGATTATCATTGAGATATATTTTCTTATTATTAACAAGTTAAGTTGTCAAAATTAAAGTAAAAATAGTTACATTAAAGTTAATAGAAAATGTAATATTTTTATTATTTTAAATTTATATATTTTTTAAAAAATTCTTTACAAAAATAATTTAATATATATGTCCCGAATTTTCTATTTTTTTATTTCTTTGAAAATATAGAAAAATACTTATACTAGTGTAAGTATATGTTTTTTGTAAGTATTAAGATATTGGGAGATATATATACTTAAACCAGTGCAAGTATATGTTTTTTCTAGGTATTAAGATATTGAGAAATGTGCATACTTACACCAGTTCAAGTATGTGTTTATTTCTTAAAAAAATTCTTAATTTACTCATGTTACATGTATGAGTTGTATAATAAAATGTCATATAAAATTATTTTACAAATTAATAAAAAAATGAAAAATATTTTATAGAAATTAATCCAAAAAATATATGTAATAGAACACATACCAAAAATAAAATTAAAATCAAACACACATAATAAATAATCAAAATATAATATAAATTTGATATTTTTTATTTTTATTTTATATGCATCATATTGTTTTATAGCAAGTATTAGAAAAATTGGAGCCATAGTAAAAAAGTTCAAAGCAATAAAATAGATTTAGTGTAATTATGTATAAAAGGAATGATCATTTTAAAATAGATATATTATTTTAGGAATATCATGTGATAAAGGAAGGGAATTGTCTAATGCATAAGAAATGGAATAGAATGACATGGAAAACACCCCAAGAAAATGTTACTATATGAAATACTTTATTACCACTAGAGGGAATGCTTTTAAGCCAAATGTGAGTATGTGATTCGAGAAAAAAATTATTCCCCTAATAGTTATTTTTTCTGTGAACCAAACATGGGCCCATTTCTAAGATTTTGGTGGCCCTTGGGCGAACCATAAAATTAGACCCTTAATAAGGGATTTAAATTACAATTTATATTTTTGTTTTCGGTTAAGTTGTGTTTATCGATGTTACATATATAACTGATGATATTGTGTCTCTGTAAATATTATGGTTGTGAATGTTTAATAACATATGTTATTGTGGACATAACAGTTGTGGATATCGTAATTTTAAACAATATCTTTACCACTACATAATGGTTGTTGTTGTGGTTACATATTGTTATTTAAGTAATTGTTCTTAATAACAAGTATTTAAAAAAATTCTAAGGGTGGCTCCATAAGTATTGAAAAAAATGAGTTCCTAAAAACAAATATTTTAAAAAATTAAGAGTATGCTCATAATAACATATATTAAAAAATTAGACCTTTAATAAAAGTACTGAAAAAACTCAACTCATAATAACAAATAAATATTAGAAAAGAAATTAAATTTTAAAAATATAACCTAAGAACAAATATTAAAAAAATTAAGCCTCTGGTAATAAGTATTAAAAGAATTGGACCCTTAATAACAAATGTTAAAAAAAATATTGATAAAAATAAATTAATATACAAATATTAGAAAAATAAATTATAATAGTAGACCTCTAATAATAAATATTAGAAAAAATTGAACCTATAGTAATAAGTATTGAGGAAAACCCCTTAATATTAAAAATAATTAGTTTCTGTATAAAATCATTTCTTTAAAGTAAATACATTATAAAAATTCTGAATCCCGGGGCAGGTGCCCCTCCTGCCCTGACCAAATACAACACTGACCAAACACTTTAATGTTAAAATCTATTAAAATATATTACAATTAGAAGTAATTTTAATTTTTATAATTCTTTTATTATACTTAAAAATTATTTTTAATCCATCTATCATAAAAAGGAGTATTTTAATCCATCTATTATAAAAAAAATTACTCATTGTAAAAGTGAATAATTTTGTCAAAAATGTTAAAGTTTTAATCGAATTAAACATTTTCGGTTAAACACCTTTTTAAGTACCTATTATTCTTAAATTTGAACAAATTGATCTCTTAAAAAAATTATTCAATATATATTTTATAAATGAATAAACAAAATTGATATATGGTAATATTGATTTTTTTGGGTCAGCATATGACACGTGTTCAATTGTGGTTGAATAGTTTTTAAAATAAAAAAAATAAATTTTATAATATTTTCATAACTTTGAAAAAAATAAAATTTTATTTTTTATGATTTTTTTTGCATATTTGTCAATTAAACTCTTACTCGCTTCAAATCTAAAAATTCGAATAAAAAATCAATGTACATTATTTTAATTAAACATTTTTTTATATTTTAACATGTAATTGTAATATTATTATAAGTAAAAACAACGAAGTTTGAAATTAGAATATAAATTAATTTTTCGTTTAGATCTCATAAGTGTTTAAAAATTTTATGTAAAAACTTTAAAAATATATATATTACGAGAGAAATTAATTTGATCAAATTCAAAATTGAGATCCTAAAGAGTGTTTAAACCAAAATATTTAAGGTAACTTATAATAACTTTAATGTTTTGAACCAACATGTTTATTTTTGAAATATTTTTTTATTAATATGGGTGATTACAATGTAATATTTGTTCGAAAAATTAATCATTTGACAATAAGCATTCAAACACTCATGCAAATGTCATGCTTAAACCCGAAACCTCTAAGAATAACAATCATTCTTTTAACCACTGAAATCGGTTGATTCGTATTACGAGTCTATTTAGTTAGGGAAAAACATTTTACGAAAAAAAAAAATTTCCCGTTTCCTGTGTTTGGTTCCGTAAAACAACAAAGTCAATGTAATTTGTTTTATAGTTGACTGAAAACTCAAACCAAAACACGGGAAAATGACTTACCGTTTTGGAAACGGTAGGTCATTTTCCATCATTTTCCCTTCCCTTCCCTTCCCTTCCCTTCCCTTCCCTTCATTTCTCCCCGAAGCCTGATATCTAACTCATCAATGTCGGATGTAATTCCATTTGAAATCATATAGAAAATCGATTGGGGAAATATATACTTTCATTTTCCCAAATGGATACACCTTTCAGATCTCGCTTTTGCATTTTGTTCCTCCTCACTTGTTTATTAATTTGCGGTTTCGCTTTTGTTGGAGCTCAAAATCAAAGGCCGAAGAACGTTCAAGTTGCGATTCGGGCTAAATGGTCGGGTACTCCATTGCTCTTGGAAGCCGGGTTGGTTCCCTTTCTTCTTATTATCGCTTTAATTTTGGGTTTGTTCTGTATATGATTCTCTTGTTGTGGATTTCGTTTATTTGTTCATATTCGTATTAAATTTATTCTCTTGGTGTGATTTGTTTGTTTAGTTCTTATTTTTGAGCCAATGTCAATGTTGCAGAAAACGGCTGAGGTTTGTGTTTTCATATCCAACCACTGCTTAAAGTTATTTGCTGTGTTTGGTTCTTTTTTGTTAGTGGTTTTATCATTTATCAATTTCGTTCTGTGACAGATAAAGGAGTATTCATACCTGTTAGATCTGGCTGATGAATGCGAAGATCCTTACATGCGATTAGTGTACACTAGTAAGGTTTCTTCTAACTTCCCTTTCTTTATAAGTTTAAATAGGTAACTGATGGTAGCTAATTGCAGCTTCATGGGCTATATCTGTCTATTATGCCTATCAACGTACCTGGAAACCATTCAATCCCATACTTGGGGAGACTTATGAAATGGTTAATCATGGTGGCATTACTTTTCTAGCTGAACAGGTGAATCATTTAGACCTGAGTTTGGGTTCATTTTTTCCCTTTTAATGTTTTGGGCTCTTCTAGCACTTTTTTCTGCATAATTTCTCTGCTTAGCTTCTGTTTAAGGTATTTATTAGACATTTTCCCCTTTTCAGGTTACTCATCACCCCCCAAATAGTGTTGGTCATGCTGAAAATGAGCATTTCATTTATGATATTTCATTCATTTATGATATTTCACCTAAAGTGAAAACCAAGTTATTGGGAAATTCATGCAAGTTTTATTTTAGCATTGTAGACACTATTTTTTACTGGGCTTAAAAAAATATTATTACTATTATTAATAATTTTATTACATATGTTTGCAGGCCCAATATTTAGACCCAACAGTACAAGGTTCAGTCCACCATTACAGCTTAAGCCCAACAAATAAGGCCCAGATGTACAAGAAGACCCAACAAGTCCTATAAGCCCAAATACAACAACAACCCAACGGCGGGTCCGACCCATCTTCAATTAGGGTATTGAAACCCTAAAACTATCATCCAGAAGCCTACTATCGCCGCCGCCAAAGAGAGCCAAACCGTCCAACGGCACACGCTGCTGCCTGACCAGCCGAGCTTCACCCTTCACTACCGCCAAGCTTCCAGCTTCCACCGAGCTTCCGAATGGCGTCATTACATGTGTCAAAGACAACCAAATCAGTGCAAAATCAGACCAAATCCACTGAGCATTTTTCTAAATTAAAACAAATCCAGAAAATTGGTGGTGCTATACCCTACCATTATTCGTATATCAGTGGAGGATTCATCAAACAGCAACGAAATTTCATTATAAAAGCATGTAATCATTCGAAGCAGAGGGGAGGAAAAAGGCAAGAAGAATGATTGGAAAAAGGGGTCTCGATTTTCAGCAAGGAACGAGGGGAGACAGCGATGAAAAAAAAGAAATTTTCGTAGAGGGAAAAGGGTGTAATCGAGTATGAAACCCGAAACAAATTGTAAAGGAGATTTGAGTGTCTCTGTTTTCCCATATTTTAGAGAGCATTTTGAAGCTAGCATTGTACAAGGTTTTCCTCTTCGATTTACACAGAATAAATAAAAGGAGAAAGCCTTTTCATTTTTCAAAAATAAAATTCAACAAGCTACAGATAAAAAAAATCAATACTAAATACCAAGGTATTTTCGTTATTGAAGACCATTTTTCTTCTTGTTCTTTTGTGTATGAACTTGCGTTTTTGGAATTAAATAAAGAGGGTTGAGTCGACTTACATATGAAGAGTGAATCCTTGCTGGAGTGAGGGTGGTCGGTGTCGTTGTGAGTGTATAAACCCTAGGGCTCTCGGCTGTGAAAAAAATGAGAGAGTGAAGAAGAAAGGTGCGGCTGATGAGGGTAGTTTAAAATTAGGTTATGCTTAGTATTTTAAGAAGTACATATATATTAAATGATTAGGAGTAATTTTGCTTTAGGTCCTTAAATTAGGCTCTTCTTTACATCTTGGAAGCTAGATTTGGACTGATATGATTTTATGTCAATATTCTGGGCCTTTAAGCGCTATTTTTCCTTTTTATTTTGTTTAGAACTTGTTTAGGTTTGGGTAAACCACGGTTTAAATCCCCATAGCTTTGTTTTTATTTATTTAGGTCACGGGATTATTTTTGATTTTATTGATTTAATTTTACATTTAATTGAATTTGGTCATTATGTTAAAGTTAGTATTTTTGGTTTAAATTAGTCCTTATATTAGGTTGATAATTATAAATAAGTCCATTTTTATTTTATTTATTTTGAAACATTCGTTACCATTTTGGTTTTTTAGGTTTTATTTTTATATCATTATTTTAGATTCTTTTTAATTTCATTTTAGAGCCTTTAGTTTAAATTAAATACTTAGGTTTAAATTAGTCTTGACTTAATCCTTATTAAGTATTTTACCTGTAAGTTTAATCTTTAATTGTTAAGATTTTTTTAGATTTAAATTTCAAATATTTTTGTCCTAATTGAAATTATTTTATCTTTTAGATTAAGTCCTTAAATCTAAATTTATTTTAATTTAGTTCATGGTTAGGATTGTTTTCTTTAAATTAGTTAGTATATATTTATTTGCATATTGATATATATAATGAGTTATGATTTATGACTTGATCTTTGTTTAATTTATAGTTTTAGCCTTAGATTTATTTGTTCTTTTATTTCAGTCCTTTAAGTTTCCTCCTTTTAAGTTATTAATTTGAAGCAAATTAATTAACATTCAATAAATGAATCATATTTTAACTTGATATTTGATTCATGATTTTCACCATTTACGACAATGTGTAAGCGACACAGTACCAATTTTGGGCGCAGTGGGGGTGTTAATCCTTCCCCACGCGTAACCGACTCCCGAACCCGTTTTAATCAAATTTTTGGTAATGCAGATCAATTTTGTCTTAAAAACGATTTTTCTTAAAATTGTTTTTTTAAAAAGACGTTTTTAGGTATTCGACCTACCTAACCCAAAGGTTGATGGCGACTATTTTCAATTCTATCCAATTTAATTTCAAATCACTGGAATTTCCAAAAATTAAAGTCGTAACTGGTTTTTAAACAATTAAACGATTGTCACTCCGAAAAGCGGTTACGACAGCTTGGCGACTCTGCTGGGGAATTTTTTTTAGAGAGTCAAGCTGTAAGTCGTTTACACATTGTCGTTGTGATGAAAATTATGAGTTCGAGTTTTTAGTTAATTTATGATTCATTTATTGAAGTTTGTAATTGCTTCATTTTTTTGTCTTACTAACATTTTTATCTTTGTTTTCAAATTTGTCCAAAGTTTTGTCGAGTGGTTTTGTTTTCCTTTTGAGTCAAAGGGCTTAATGTTCCTCCTCATACACATCACGATTCATTTGCATACCATAAGCTCACTTATGAGCTTCGTCCCTTTTAAGTTGAGATGGAAGCTTAACCTACGTGAGATAATTTGTTTCTCCGTAAGGGTTTTAGTAAGTAATCTTTGGGGTTCATATACTTTATGTCTACGTGAGATAAATTGTTTCTCCGCATAGACATAAGGGAATGTATCCTCTCGAATTGAACTCGATCCGTACGAGCTTGTAATGGGCCAGGATTAAGGGTTTGGTAGCCCAAGGTGGCACCAACTTTAAGGACAATTCAAGTACCTCCTTTTCCCGTTAGAGCCAAAACCATGCATATATTGAACCGTAGAACCGTTACCCTAGGTATAGACATACCAAACCTCTGACCGTCAGTAGGTACCCAAATTAAGTGTACACAAAGGAGGAGCGTTTCTGAACCTTTTTATTTTCTTTTTGAATAAAAGCATGCGAACTAGATACCATGCAGTTAGGATCATTTCATTGAAAATAATTATTTTGGGTAGAAAGCATGTTTGGGTTGGATCTCTATCTAATAAAAGCATGATCGGGTAGATATCATGATTGGGTAGGTGTTATATTTATCTTTAAATAGCATCTTTTAATTTTATTGATTATTTCGCCCATACTAATTTATTTCTTTTCTTTTACGTATGCCATTTTTTGTCCTTCTTTGCATTGCATCACTTTTTGCATCTGCATTTGCATCTTCGCATTTGCATAATCATCATGAATAAAAGAAAGGTGTTGATTAAACCAAGTAATCATCAGATTAGAAGAGCGATCATTGAAATGGAAAAGAATTTTCATAACAAGGAATAATTCAATCTAGCGGTTCAAGCTTAGTTTGAAGAAACACAAAGGGTGAAAGGAGACAAATTTCTTGGGGATTACGTATCACAGATGATCACAAATGTCAATGTCAATATCAAGAAAGAATTATCTACAAGAGCTGATAGAGATTTGGGATATTTAGAGAATAGTTACCAAGGAGAAATTTCACAAGAAATATGATGACATGGTTTATATCCTCTGTGTAAAGATAGATGAGTCGTTGCTTAAAGCTTTGGTCTGATGCCGGAATTCCACATAAAAATGTTTCACTTTCAAAAGACAAGATTTGACACCAACAATAGAAGAGTACTGCTCTATTTAACTTTGAAAGCCTTCAGGTGGATATAATTCATTACAGACTTCCGAAAATCCAATCCTTCAAAAGCAAGCTTGTGAAGATTACAAGATTACTGATAGTAGAACACATCCAACAAATGGTAGAAATGGAGTGTTTTATGTGGCATTGCCTCAAAAAGCTGATACTAGTGCACATAAATGAAGATAAGGAATTAGACACCTTTGATCTGGCTATACATGATCTAGTGATATTCTCAAAGACTTTGCTACATGTTGAGGTTATTGTTGCAGATCTCTTGGACAGATTGGAGAAAGGTATAAGTCCTGCAATGGCTATCTTGACAGATACTTTTTGATCCCTAAATGATTACCATAGATTGGAGGGAAGGCGATTCAAATGTTGCACTCAAATACCCACCGTTTGGATTCAGAATCATTTCTAGAAAGAGAATAAAGTTATTGGGATCATGACTGAGATCATGAAGTTAAATAAAAAGGCTAAACTGTATTTGTAGAATTGATCTTTCTTGTAAAGATGAAAGTTCTTTTGGAAGAATGGAACTCTTTCTAAGAATAATTACTTTTGGAAATCGATACCTTTTGCATTTGCATTTGTATTTGCATCTTTCCATTTTTACGTTTGTATTTACATTTTCATTTTTTTTTTTTTGCATTTGCATTTTCATCTTTGCATAATTATGTTTGTATTTTCAATCTTACATCATGTATTTGCATTTTATTTCAAACTATTTTACATGCATGGGAATAATTCGTGGAGGATTCTATGACAGAATTTTCAAAATCAAATTGGAGTTAACTTGGTCTTCCTAGAGAATGATAAGAACCATGAATGAGATTGTAGCAAGGGTTTGTAGAATCAAGAAAATCCAAGAGCAACTTATCAAGATTCAACAAGAAATGAATGATCAAGCAAAGAAGTTTTAGGACGAGTCAATGGAACAGATAACCAAATTGATGGGCATGGTGAATGTTATGATCCATGGAGAAGAGCCACTAGAGGATCCTATTTTGGATGGGAATATGAATGCTAGTGTTGAAACTTTGATTGTAGAAGGTT